GTGGCTGCACACCTTGTCAGGCCAGTCACCAAGGACACACCTAACACCCACGCAGAGAACATCAAAGCTAGCATCTGCTGTACCTGCTCCCCTAACCTGACATGACGCAGGCCATAGCTGTAAAAGTCATTTGAATGAGGGCCCTGGTCTGACACCAGAGCAAGTTCTCCAGCCTGAAAAATATTGGCACATGCCCATGGGGAGGCTGGCCCTGCAGGCCCAAGGGCTCAGACTTGGAGCGGGTGGATGAGCAGCTTATGTGGTCCACATCTGCTCTTGCCACCACCTGAGGCTTCCCTAGCAGCATAGGTGACATCTCATGGCCAGATGACAAGCTCTTAAGTTACCGAGGACTCAATCAACTCAAGACCCATGGAGTTGTCCCACACAGTCCTGGTGCCACAGACAGCACACAGGGCTCAGCATGGTCATTCCCTTCTTCTCCTCACCTGAGTCCAGCACAGTCTCAGTCAGCCCTCAAGATGTACAGCATGGCTGAGGTCCACCCTGAGAAATATTCTGCTGAGGTCATGCAAGACATTCCAGCAGAAACAAAGGGTGGAACGTGCTACATGACTGACATTGGGCCACTAGAGACAGTTAATCAACACAGCTCACTAAAGAAGGTTAGCAGAAGATTGAGGGGGAGGTGTGGTGGGGTGAGGTGGGCAAGCCCAGGGCCAAGGTGGTGGCCAGCAGCAGGCCCCAATGAAGGACATGCAGAAGACATTGTATATAAGGCCATGCCATCTGTGCCTAGATCCTCCAGGGAGTAGATCAGGCAAGAATCCAGGTCTCCAGGCCTGTGTCAACCTACAGTGGTTCAGTGGGGACAACCACATTGACCCTCCAGGGTCACTGCACACAGCAGGGAGCCACCACAGGTGGGGTCCCCAGCAGCATTCAGAGGCCTTTCCTCCTTCTCTGTACCATACAATAGGTCTTCAAGCAGCCATATTAAGTTCCAACACTGGTCCTAGGGCTCTCCCACAAATCACACATTCTGGACCCTTCTCAAGGCCTCCAGAAAATGAGAGGAAAATATCTTTGCTGCTGAGGCCCAGCTGTCATTTGGGAAGAGCAGAGGTGGGACGGGGCCAATGGCTGAGTCCACAGCCCGTCAGTGCCTGTGGCTCTCCTCCCTTAGCTACTCTGTTCTCAGGAAAGCCACTAAACAGAGGGAGGGAAGGCTTCCAGGCAAGGGAGGGCCACTGATCAGGGCAGCCCCAGTGCCTTCACTCTCCATTATAGCTGCTCAGCTCCCTGCTCCAGCTAACCAGTGTGAAACTTAGTTCCTACACAATACAGGCCAGTTCAAACCAGCAGGCTGAGACTTGGTCACTAGCAGCTCTGGCAAGAAGCAGAGCCCTGACACCGTGCTAGGCCAGGTCAGCCGGGGGATGGAGTGGACCAGAGGTCAGTACCATATGGCCTATCATCATGCCAGGTCCAGTTCCAACCCATCCACAGGAGGGGAGACAAGGAGACCCCTGAATTCCCCTTGGACCTCCCACCATTGGTTCAGCTCGATGGACTCTCCCTCAAGGCCCAAGAAAGGAAGAGTTCTTCCACCTGGGAAGATAAAAAGGTGTGAGCAAGTCTTGAAAGGTAAGGTACTCTCAAAGTCAAGGGAGTAACCACTGGTTATGGGAGCCAGCAGCTCTGAAAAGCACTCTCCCAGTTGGCCCTGACACCCAGGATGGTGGGTGAGAACCAGTGCCCTCTCCCCATCCAGGCACACTGGGGATCTCCCAAGCAACCTCTTGCCAGAGCAGGAAGGACTTAGAGAAACAGAGACTGGGGAGATGGCATACAGACTAGCCCTATACTGCCTACTACAAAAGTGGTCCCCTCATCTAGGCCTCCAGTTTAAAGAGAACCAAGGAAACAAGGTCCCATCAGCCACTTCCAGCTCCTATAAGTGCAAAGAAAGCTGACAGGGAGTAAGTTGAGTCATTACTCAAAGAGACTGGGGAGTAGAGGTGGAGAGGGGGACAAAGGGGAAGGTGGGACTGCAAACTGCCTCGGGCCATCAACTAGAAATTTGTCCTACCCAGGCCAGGTACCCTCTCTGACAGCCCTGAGCTGATTAAGGACTCAACCCAGCCACCATGCTGAATTTGCAGATAGGGGAAAGGGTGGACAGAACTTCTGGAGCCCTGGAAGTCTAGAAAGTCAGCCTGGCCCAGGTGAGGTGGGTTGGGAGGGGAAGCCTAGCCTGGGGAATGACACTTATAGAGGACACACAGGGTTCGACTAAGGCTGGAGAAGGTATGGAGACTGTGGGGCTTGTTGCAGGTGGTTCATCCACAACAGAGATGAAGGGGTGGGGCAGACAAGAGGCAAATCCCTCTTCTTATTGTTCTTCAGAATGAGATGGACAAAGTAAAAGGATTCTTCTACTCGGGCGAGTAGAAAAGGAGAGGCACACAGAAGTACAGGAGGAGCAGAGGGACAAGCTTGGGGGTGTGGCTGCTAGAACAGGGAAGGACTTCTTGAGCGCAGAGGACTCGGAGCCCAGAGAACCTGGGAATGAGAGGAGCAGACGCTGGGGTGGGGGAAGGGTCAGTTTGAGATGGTGGGATGGGGGGTGTTGAAGAGGGGACCGTGGAAAAAGAAATCTGGAAAACAGAAAGGAAATGTAAGCAGAAGATAGGAGATTAAGACCGGGGCGTAGGATGGGTCAGAACACGGAAAAATGGGGTTCATCGCAGGAAATAAGAATCTTGAAAGGAAGACAACGAGGAGCTTCGGAGCAGGCGCTGGAGTCCTGCTGGGCGAGGAAAGCGGATGTGTGTACCGGAGAGAATTCTCAGCCGCCGGGCCCCTAGGCCCCCAGGGCCTGGCTTCCGAGAAGACGCAGATCCTGGGGGCCCCATGGCAGGGACTTGTGTCCCGGGCTGGGCCGGGTCGGGGTCGGCCGGCGGCCCTACCTGGTACACGGAGGCCTTGGGCAGGTCCAGGCACACGGTGCAGCACAGCACCGAGTAGAGCCGCTCCT